AGTGGTACCCATTGTGGCCTTGGGTGCAGACATTTCTCTGGACCTAGAGCGGTTTCTTGACACCGGTGTCCAGGGTCTGGAGTTGGTGCTCTGTTGCCTTGTCCCCACCAGGCTCTGATCCTGGGAAGGGTTGGTTTCCAGGGTCACAGTCTGTGACTTGCACCAAGGTCCCCAGATCTAGGAGAAGGGCCCAGCTACCCACCCAGATCTGGACTGGGAAGCTGTACCGGGCTGAACCCCTGCCCGGCCCACTGTGTCCACATCGTCAGTCACTGCCACTTCCTAGAGCCGTCTTGGCCTCCTGAGGCTCTTCCTTGTTTTTCCACACAGTCCCTCTTCTGTCCCCAGTCCTCTGAGTTTCGTCCTGCGCCCCCTGCCCGCCTCCTCACCCCCTGCCCGTTGCACAGTTGCACATTGTTCCTGAGCTACCACCAGCTCCCGCATCCCTGTTGGGCGGGGACCTACAGTGCTGGGGACCCAGACTAGGATTTCACAGGCTAGGAGGAGGGGGATGGGCAGGCTTTTCCCAGGCCCCCCCCCCCTGCTTTTCTGCAGCTAGCTTCTGTTCCCCGCATGGGTCCCGAGGGAGAGGAACAGCGTGTTTTATCTTCCCACAACCAAGACCCTCACCTCCAGATAAAGGCCTGTGAGTCAGGGGAGGTCCCACAAAGCTGCTTGCTGCTGATAACAGGCTGTCGCTGTGGGCCTCCCAGGAGCCCGGAGTGGGGAGGGGCAGGGGAATCCTGCAGCCTGATTATAGTGACGCCCCCTGTGGCCACCCATGACTGGCTGTCATTGTAGTGACTGAGGTGGAGGCGCCCCTCTGGTCTCCGTAGCCCACCTCGCATCTAGCTTCTCACCGCGACCCCGGCCCTTGCCCAGCCTCCTCCTTTCTTACTCCTTCCCTCTCTCTGGTTCTTTTTTTTTTTTTTGTCTGTCTTTTGTCCCTCGGGGCTAAAGCACAGGCAGTGTTTAACAAGACCTTGTTTTCATCTCCGTGGTCCTCAAGCCACCTCCAGCCCTTCCTTGGGCCCCGGCGCAGTTCACGGCAGGGCTGGTGGTTAGGCACAAGGTGGCTGGATGAGGTCAGGTTCCCTGGATGTGTGATGCCAGCAGGCTTTCTCAGAACCCCACAGAGAGGAGACAGGGGTTGGAGGGGGGCTGGGGATGTCACCTCAGAATTACAGGGACTCACAGCTTTTCCTTCGGCAGCTGCAGGAGGCCCGCCAAGAAACAGTCATCTTGGATGCTTGTAGCAGGCGGATTCCCTGGTCTCTCCTTGATCTTCCTCAGACCCTTCTGCAAGCAGAGCCTCTGTTGACCCTCTTTGTAGACCCCCTTCATAAAGAGGGGAGCCCGGAGAGGTTGCAGGGCCTGGGTGATGGATGTTGCCCATGTGGATAGTGTATGATTCAAAGTAGTCAGGCCAGTGTCTAAGCTTACGTCTGTGGCCCCACAGCAGCTCAGCAGCACAGTCAGCGTGGTTGCCGGCCCTGTGTTCCACAGGTGTTTTGGAAGTGGAGATCATTCTCCCAGGCCCAGCCCCACGCTTGGTGAGCCCCCCTCATACTTGAGACCCACAGACATAAACCAGTGGGGAAGGTGTTTCACAGTGGGGCCGGGACTCTGAAAAGAAGAAGGTAGAGGAGAGTGATAGAGAGCAGCTGAGTCCTTTGTAACACAGTAGGCAGGAAGAGCTCTCGGGGAGAATGCCTGTGCTGTGACCTGATGGGGATCTAGGAGATGAACAGAGTGGGCAGGGGCAGCATGTGCAAAGGTCCCCTGGCAGATTGGGTTTGGTAGGCCTGGTAGTCACCAAAGAGGCCTGCACAGTCAGTGTGAATGGAACAGAGAGAAGCCAGGGGCTAGCGCCAGGTGGGGGACCAGCACCCAGGTATCCAGTGACGATATCCAGGCATGTTGATGAGGTCATGGGCGTATGTACTTCTGATCAGCCCAGTGCTGGGTGCAGGCGTGTGTGCACATGTACACTGCATGTGTGCCCTGTGCCTGTGCACTGTGCTCAGTCTCATTAAACGCCACACTAAGACAAGGTGCTAAGGTAGGGATTCGGCCACTGGCCCCTGCACAGCTAGTGCCTGGCAGGACCAGTGTGGCCTGCACACGTCATAGCCCCAGTGTGGATCGGGATAAGCGTAGGGAGGCTGGTAGCCCTGTCTGAACTGTAGGAAGAAGGCCTGTAGTACCAAAGCGTGTCTTGCATTTCCAGTGGGGTGTCCTTCCTGATTCTGGGGGAGGGTGTAGGTTGACTCAATGGAAGTTGGGGCGGCCTTTGTAACTGTTCTGGCCAGGCCAGCTGCACACATAGGAGTAGATGCCAGCCATTCTAAAAAGTCCTCTGCCTTCTGAGGCTGAGACCAGGAGCAGCTGGCCTGCAAGGGAGGGGCCTGCCCATCTTGGGTAGTGACCACAACCTTTCTTAGCTCAGCTTGTTGCTAAAGCTGAGAGTGTCTTCCTGTGACTGTCTGAACATGCTCCGAGGCACAGGTCAGGGCAGAGTCCCAGGCACACATGCCAGGCTCCTGTCCCCTGGATGCTGCTAAGAGCTGACTGAGACCGGACCAGGGACGGGAGGAGGGCAGGGTCAGCAGTGTGGCACAGGCCAGGGCATAGAGCATGGGGCTAGCAAACCGGTTCCTTTGCTGGCCCCAGCTGAGGGTGAAAGCCAAGTGCTGCCAACGGAAGCTGCAAGGATTGGTAAGCTGGCTTCTTAAAAACAGCTGCATTTTCTCCTTCTCGAAAACTCCACCTTTCTGATCGCACTGAGGTAACCTCCCCTAGTGTCACACATCGGCCAGTTCAAGAAGGGACACCCACTCTATAGTGGGCCACACACCTCATCTGCCCTGCCATTTTCTTCCTGCGAAAATGTCTTTCCCGACTCTGATGAGCCAACTCTGATACACCAACGTGAGGCTGCCTGGGGTTTAGGGTTCAGATGCAGACCTCCAGAATATTCTGTAGGCTCGCGTGTTTCGTGATGCAACACCTCATCGAGGTCTTGGCACATGTGTTAGAGATGTCACAAGCCTCTTCTTTGGGGCTGAGGCGAGCTAGCGGGTGGGACTGTCATCTCTCCGGGGCTGTGCTTCTCCTGAGTTTCCTCAGGACCTGATGTCCCCACTCCCAGTCACGAGTCACGCTTCTCCGCCGCTCTGCTTTGCAAGCGCAGGCAGCCGCTCTGTGGCGGCGTTGCTGGGAGACATGCCTGTTTGCCAAGGCTTGAGCCTGGGTTCTGGGCTGGGCTCGCGGAGAGTCTCGGGCACAGCTGCCTCTCCCACTGTGGCAGAGAGGTGACAGCGTCACCGCGTACAGGGCTGGGTTTGTGGTGTTGACACTCGGTTGCAACTAGTTTGAGGCTTTCGGAAAGGGTGGGAAGATGGACAGAACTGAGCACCAGGACGGAAGCCCCACCCACCAGCTGCAGCTGGACCGAGAGCTGCCAGCCTCACTGGGGCTCGAATCTCTGACATCATGCTTCTGGGGGCTTTGCGTGGAATCCTGTGAGTCCGGGGTTATTGAGAAGGGTCTGTTTCACCCCCGTTCTGCAATTTTGAGAATTTTAAAATTGGATTTTAGTCTGAAAGTTCATTAAGCACCCTGGGTTTTTGTTTTTGTTTTTAAGGGAAAACAACATTTTGCTTAGGTTCATAGTTAAAGAAAATGGTTCACATAGTAATTTAAAGTGAAGTTAGTGTGGCCTGGGCCTGTTGAACACTGAGTTTTGTGTTCAATGTTCTGTCCTCTCCAAATGGGGCCAACAGCAGGGTGTCTGTGTGTCTGCTTGCCTGTCTCTATGCCTCTCCCCGCCCCCTTCTCTCCCTCCCTCTCGCTCCCCCTGCTGAAGCCCAGCAGCACCGACCGGACCCCTTTAATCTAGCAGATTCTGTGCTTTGTTTAGTCTCGGGGACTTGTGTGCCCTTGCAGTGACTCCATGTAACGCACTGATTTGTTTGTTGATGGGGCCAGGACTCGACCCAGAAGGTGAAAAGGCCTCAGGGGAAGGAGCAGAGGCCCCCACAGGCAACCCGGAAGAGGAGGAGGAAGAGGAAGATGAGGAGGAGGAGGAAAGTGTCCCAGGATGCACTTTGTTTATTAAGAACCTCAACTTCAGCACCACAGAGGAGACACTGAAGGAAGTGAGTGAGATGGGGGGGGCGGAGGGATGTGTACCCCAGTCTCCGGCATGCTGTAGCTCTTGGCCCCCCTCATCCACCTCAGGGGTGGGTCCTCACGTCAGGGGGTGGTGGCAGCTTCGGACTACCTGTCTAGAAGGCAGCCGGTGACAGGAACCTGTCTTTGCAGGTGTTTTCCAAAGTGGGGGCTGTGAAGAGCTGCACCGTGTCCAAGAAGAAGAATAAAGCAGGTATTTATCCCGACTCGGCAGGAGCACTTCCTGAAGGAGCCTGTGACAGAGGAGATGGACGGCCACCAAGGCATCTCCTCTTGGCTTTCCAAGTGTCTCCACCCTCCTGTCTGAACTGGTCCCTGGTCTGCTTCAGGCCTCCTGCTCTGGGGCAGACCCAGCTGACCACATTGGACTCTTCTCTCTCTAGAACTTTCCCTAACAGTGAGTGGCTTTGAAACAGTTCCACAGGGGCAGCAGTATGGAGCAGAAGCCTCTGCTTCCTCCTTTATTTACCTCTGTGTTCTGGAACTTTTCCAGGCATGTCAAGGAATGGCTGGCCTTGGGTTTTCCCTCCTGTTTTCCAAGGGAAATACCCAGAGACAAGTTCTAGAGCATTCTAACAACTCATTAATCCTGTGCCTCCACGGCCAGTGGGCACATAGGCCTCATGTCTGACTTTGGCCCAAGGATTATCTCAGAGTCCCCTGGTGGTCCTCCTCCTGGCTTCCTGCAAGGCACGGGCAGGGCTAGGCCATCCCCATCCAGAGTCCCTTTGGTTAGGCAGGATTGGTGGGGATACCACGTGGGCTGGCCCAGCATGCTTCTGGGTAGTGATGGATAGCCATGATACCCACTGCTCAGTGTCCCTCAGACAGGTCCCGAGATCCTCCCCATAGATGGCAAGCAAGCCATTAGTTATAAGGTACCTGTCCCCAGAGTGTCCAGATTCCCTGGGGGACTGATGAACCAGTGACTACAGCCCAGTGCTGAGGACTGCGGCAGGCAGAAGCCCTGCACAGCGGTGCTCTTGACAGGCGGCACCTCAAGAGAGGCAGAGCCATCAGATGGCAGAGACCTCAGGCTCAGAGCACCGAGAACTTGTAGAGGAAGCGGTAGGAGGAGGTCTGGGAGGGTGGGCAGGGTCCAAGAAATGAGGTGACTCATGTTAGTTAGCAGGGAGCCACTAGGGAGTAAGCAGACGTCCAGCAGAGTCAGGGGTCCGTTGCACCCTTCCGCTTAGGTTGCTGTGACAGAGAGCCCTAGTTTGGGGGTTAAAGTCACCAATGTATCATCTCATTATGCTTGAGACTGGAAAACCAAGATCAATGTGCCTGTTGGCAGGTGTGGTTCCTGTGGGGAAGGAGCTGTCCAGCCCCCCACTTCCCCACCTCCCATCTCCTAGCCTGTGGGTAGCCATCTCCAGGTCCATATGGCATTTTGGTTGTGTGTGCCTGTCCTGGGTTCAAATTTTAGCTTGTTTTTGAGGCAGGGTCTCTCCGCGTAACCCAAGCTGGCCTTGAATACACACTCCCGCTATAGCCTACCAAGTGTTGGGATTACAGGCATGGGTCACGATGTCTGCCTTCTCCCCAGTTGGTAAAGGGACCCCACCTGTGCTGGATCAGGGCGTACTATGATGACCTCACTTTACTCGATTACCTCAGTCAAGCACATGTCTCAAGCAAGGTCCCGCTCAAAGGAACGTGGGCTTCCACACAAGAGCCTAGGGCACCCGGTACGCCTGCCATCCCCGTCTTCAGGGGCTTCAAACCAAGTGTGAGACACCGGCACATACAAGGGTGTACACATACAGACGTGTGTGCTAAGGGGATGAGTCCGGTAGAGTGTCCTCCAGAGTTCCTGCTACCCAACTATTGCTCCTTGTACTCTAGAACAGGAAAGAGCCGTGGTCAGCCTCCCTGTCTGGACTGTGTCTGTTACCCAGGACCCAGGTATGGTCGGCAGTACCATGGTCAGCCTCCCTGTCCGGACTTTGTTACCTAGCAACCAGGTGTAGTCAGATGTCAGATGCATGTAGGAGAAGAGAGGCCTCATTGTCCACACCTGTCCTCACCTCTGCCTTAGGCATGGCGGCACCCTGGCCAGGTTGAGGCTTCGCTGCCTGTTGCAGCCATGGCCATCCCTGTTACTTCCCACTCCCTCTGAAAGGCACTCCGATTAGGAAGTTAATTCTCGTATTGGTTATCTGTGAGTTACTAGACTCTAAGTGTGGGTCGGAGTCTTCACAAGTGGTCTGGACTGTACTGAGCTCCGCCCACACCCCCTGTCTCTCTCCCTCTTTCCCTCAGGAGTGCTACTTTCGATGGGGTTTGGGTTTGTGGAATACAAGAAGCCAGAGCAGGCCCAGAAAGCCCTCAAGCAGCTCCAGGTAAGCCGGGGATCCTGGGCCATCACGGTGAGACCATGGCCCAAGAAAGATTAAGGCCTTTCTCACCCCTCCGTGGTCACTCCGACTCATTTATTCTTTTACCGTGGTTCCAAACATACTCTCTCTAGTTTGCAGGCTCTTTATGGAATGTTCTAACCCAGCAGAGCCACCCATAAGCTAGGCTCTGACTGCAGTCCCTAGACGCAGAGCTGGCGCATTAGCAGAATGACCCTTGGAAATCCCTCAGCTATCCCAGGAAATACAGCACGTGGGGCAGTATACACACTCAGGCCGTCTGCCTATCAGATACTCTGGCGGACCATGACTGTGAACTAGACTCACTCCGTCCTCTGCTGGGAAAGACAGGCTTCTGACCTGAATGAACGTGCAGGAGCAGGGTCACAGGTACTCCGTGAAAATCCCGCCTCCCCCGGGGACTACTTCAGAAAACACAGAGAGGGTGAGCCGATGACTGTCCTGGCCGATGACTGTCCTGGCCGATGCCTGTCCTGGCCGAGCCCTCAATGCTCAGAGCTCTAGGAGGGAGCAGCTGGGAGGTGAGGCTAGGAAGTGCAGAGGCCTGAGGCGGGAGCTCCAGGTGTGATGGGGCAGGATGGGGGGCGGGGCAGCGTTCTGGGGAGGAGGCGAGGAGAGAGGTGTGGAAGGCTAGACCTTCGTATAGGCCCTTTGGAGGGCTAGCATCTGGCCCAAAGGCAGTGGGAGACTGAGGCTCTGAGTTGTTTTTTAAGACAGTTTCCTGTCTGCTGTGAGGAGCATGGATAATTCGGAAGCGACTGGGGAGCCCTTGCACCCCTCACAAGACATCACCCTAGCTTGGACCAAGGTGGAAGTTAGGAGAAAGGCTGAGAAGTGTCTAGACGGCAAAGTGGACACTGTGGCAGCCCTAGAGGGGCCTGAGCCTCGCTTAAGAAGACAGCCACAGGCCTAACACTCAGGAGGATCTCTGAGTTCCAGACCAGCCTGGTCTACATACCAGGTCATAGGCTAGCCCATGTAGTATCATATGCAGGTCATAAGCTAACTACATAGTATCCCTGTGTCAAAAAAAAAAAAAAAAAAAAGACAGCTTTCTGCATTGGCAATCATCGCAGGCCATGCAGGGTAGAGGACACAGCTCGGCATGTGCCTTGTGAAGTTTTGTGGGATTTGTTTGTTTGTTTTTTTAGCTAGAAAGTCTACTTTGTTCCTGCACCCCATGTCCTCATTTAACTCACATTGAACTCTGCAAACAGTGGTCCATATTTTCTCTTTCATGTTTCTCAAGAGTTGGTAGCCGGGCATTTGTATGCATGCCGTGTGCTGGTCTGTGAACGAGCGTGTGTGCACATCACTGTCAGGGATCGTGCGTCCAAAGCCCCACACGCTATATTTCCTGGGATAGCTGAGGGATTTCCCAGGGTCATTCCGCTAATGCGCCAGCTTTGCAGCTGGGGACTGCAGTCAGAGCCTAGCTGGCACATGGCTCGGGTGGGTTAGGACGTTCATAAAGAGCCTGCAAACAAGAGTGAGCTGTCTGCATGCTGGACCTGCAGGCTCCTCTCTGAGAATGCCCGCTAATGGTAGAAACGGCTCCCTGGGCCACCGGAAGATCAGAAGTGCATTAGGAGGCTGGGTCTCTGGCCACCTGCTGCGTGTCAGCCTTTCTGTTAAAGCTGTCTCCGACCTTGATCTCCACCAAACCCTCTGTGTGGCTGGAGAAGGGCAAGCATGGGTAAGCAACCGGGCCCTGGTCATTTTGTGTTCTAGGGTCACGTCGTGGACGGCCATAAACTGGAAGTGCGGATCTCCGAACGAGCCACTAAGTGAGTCCTCAGGTGTCTCCTCTGTCCTTGGATGGGTGGCAGCTCTCTATGTCTGTCTGACCTTGGTGCTGATGGTTGAATGCCTCCACACACCCCAACTCCTCTACCATCTGGGGTTCTTCCCGACTGACGTTTCACTTGCCAGCTTTGCCTACCACCTCCCTGCCCGACCGGACCAGTCAGTGTCCATCCCCTGGGTAGTGAGCTTAGACGTGCAGACATGTTCTTATAATTGAGGAGTGGGTGGGACCGGGAGTGTAGCTCAGGGGCAAGGTGTTAGCCCAGAAGGCACAAGGCCCCTCCCTCATGGGGTTCCTTCTCATGGTCCTCCTTATGGGACAGCAGCAGTGGGCTGCATTGATCAGGGAGCCCCAGGAGTTTGGGAGAGAAGGTGACTTCCGCCCCTGTCACCCCGAAGTGGAAGATAGGCTGACTTCCTCTGCTTCCATCATGGCCCCTTCCGTAGGCCACCTGAAGTGACGGGGAGGTGTGTTTTGTTGGGGAAGGTGGCAACAGCGGTCTAGGTATGAGCAGTTCACACCCCCCAAATAACCTATTGTTCCTCCATCCCGCCCCAGGCCGGCCTTGACATCCACTCGTAAGAAACAGGTCTCCAAGAAGCAGACGACCTCAAAGATTCTGGTGCGGAATATCCCCTTCCAGGCCAACCAGAGGGAGATCCGGGAGCTTTTCAGGTGGGTCCACGCGCTGGGCTGTGGGCACAGCGCCCCCTGGAGGCTGGGAGGCTGCCCAGGTCCTGACGGTGCTGCTGTAGTACAGTGGGGCTTTCCAAACTGCCCTGGAAGCTTGAGTACCCTGGCCTCCTCTCTCAGAGGCAAGAGGGTGACCAGGTGTGTGCCCGCACCCCAGGGCTGTCACCAGACGTCAGGAGGGACAGCAGTCCTAGTGGCTGCAGCCTGTGGTTCCTCTGGGATTTACTAACGTCCCAGAGAGTCAGTGCCTTCAGAGAGGGGCGAGAGCTAACGGGACCCTCACCTCAGCTCCCGAAGGGGCCGGGAGCTGATGTCCTGACGGTAGAAAACGCTTGATCTCGGTTGCTCTCTGGCAAAAGCCATTTGGGGAAGACGTTGGATGTCCTACACACAGAACACAGACCATGGTCTCTGTTAGCATAGGAGGCTGACTTGGGGGCCAGGCAGGTGGTGAGACTTGGAGACAGACTGTCTGGGACAGAGGGGAAGCTGCAGGGCTCTTCTCTCCCGGCCATGACGCCAGGCAGGAACCTAGATTTAGTCAGGCCCATTCTGCTCATGGTTTGGAAGATTTGAGGTCTTTTCAAGTTTGAATCCCTTCTCCCCCTCCCCCCCCCCCGCCCCCGCCGTGAACTTTTTTGTTTTATGTCTGTGAGTCGCTTTCGCTTGTGAACCATGTGCATGCAGTGTTTCCAGAGGTCAGAGAAGAGCATCAGATCCCCCAGAACTAGAGTTACAGATGGTTTTGAGCTGCCATGTGTGGGGGCACTAGAAAAGAACACAGATCCTCTGGAAGAGCAATAGTGCTCTCAACCGCTGAGTCATCTCCCTGACCCCCCATCAGTCTGAATTCTCACAGGGGATCCCCGGAGGACCGATGGATTCTTTAAAAACAAACCACACAGGCTTCCGGCTGCCCCTGCCCCCCATACATGTATAGTAGAGCATTTTGATTGGGAAGTTGCTTAGATGGTCCTGCACTGAACCCCAAGTTGAAGGAGATGTTTCTGTGATCCCATAAGAAGGGGGTGCTGTGTGTCTTCAGAACATCAGTGGGATGAGTTCACCCCTCCATGCAGATTGCCGAGGCTCAGCTAGGGTCTTAGGGTGCTTATGGGCCTTAAGTCCCCGTCTCATCTGCCCCGTCAGTGGCGCGCAGCCCCTGCTTGTCACTTTCTCAGGTGATGTGTCTGTAGAGTGACCCACCAGCGTCTCATGAGGCACAGTGGCTGCAGGCGGAGCGCCGAGTTGGAGAGGGGTCTGTCTTTGGGAGGCTTGCGTCTTTACTCCTGCTGTGAGGTTAAGAGAGAGGGATGCTGTTTGGGGACCCGGCTTCAAAACCCCTCCCCTGTCTCCGCGTTCTCCACCGTCCCCCCGGGTGGGGGCGTTCACAGCCGCGGTCAGGTCAGCGTACCTTCCCTCTAATGTCGGAGCTGGGGTGCCTGGTGAGACGGGTCACAGCTGGGGGCGAGGGGGCGGTTTTCCTGAACCCTCATCCCGAGCGTCAGCCAAAAGGGGAGTGAGAGCGTTGGCTTGGTGCTGGCCTGCCGTGACTCCGCTTCTAAAGAGTCCAGTCTCACGGCCGCCACATCCAAAGGAGTGCCTAAGGATGGTGCATGGTGAAGGGAACCACATCCCTCGGAGATGACAGCGTCGCTTGGTCCCACGGTGTATTGGGGATGACATTTATCCAGGGAAACAAAAGACGGACGGCAAGGCAGGGGAAGGGCTTTGTTTGATCTGTGCGTTATACGTCTGTTTAGTAGACAGGGAATTAGTGTCTGCTGGATGTACTTACATGTGGCGTCTCTTCCTCTCTGCCATTGTTCTGTCTGGGCAGTCATAAACCCTGAAGCTGGAACCCTCCTCCTCCAGGACAGGCCCTGCCCTGCTTTTGTTAGCCTCCCAGCAGACTGAGATCTGAGACCCATCGCAGTGGTGGACAGTAGGGGTCACTGTGAGCCTTCCCTGGGATGCGAGGCTTGCGCTTCAGGCCTGAGTCTAGACAAAGCCGCTGGCCAGCCAGAGGTCACTAACTGACGGAAGGCTTCGGGATTGACCTACTGTGTCGAGCAGGATTTGGGGGGCTTTTCCTGATAGATGTGATCAAACTCACAACCCACATTCCAGGTATGTACCTGTGTGCTGGGCCCTGTGCCGGGTGCCTGCCATACTGGATCTGCTTGGCGCTTGCAGCCCTGGACATGGGAGGGCTTCTGCTATGCCCAAAGGAAACTCAAGACACAGTCTACCCAAGGTTGCACATCTGGGCTAGCATATGACTTCCAGGACCCTGGCCCAGAACTTGGTTTTTTCAAATCTGTTGTCCTCCCAGGTCTAGGAGGATTTGACACCCCCGGGTTGTCGTGGTGGCGATACTGTGTGGCGAATGTGTGATTATATGAGGCACTGTGCTAGATGCCAGGGAATGCAGCGGTATCTGGAGGGTCCTGAGTCTCCTCTCTCCTGCCAGGGCCTGCAGAGGGTCAGGGCAGAGGCATGTGAGAACACAAGGCCAGTGTGGCAGGTCTTAGCACCATCTGCTGGGGCAGGACAGCATTTACTGACCCCTATCTGGAGGCCCCACTGTCCCCTGGACTCCATCAGTTCCCACAGTACCTGGGCAGGAGGCACTGTGGGGCCCCGTGCCTGTGGGAACCCCACCAGGAGTGATTTAAGAGTCATCTTCAGACTGAGCCATCAGTGGTGCCTCTCTGGTGTGCACTCTCTGGGCCTCCGTGTCTCATCATACAATAACTGTGCCAATTGCTGGTGGTGTGCATATAGTAACTGTGCCGTGTCGTAACATGTAACGATTGTCACCGTAGAGGGCACCAGGCACTGGGGCTGAACACTTCAAGTTACCAACATCCCCTGCTGCTACAGTCTGCAGTCGTTACAAGAGCATCCGTTTGTTTCCCAGGGAGAAACTGCTCCCAAGCCCAGATCTAAGCCACACACTGGTCAAGTGCCTCCAGCTGCCTCAGTTCCCTCCCACCCAGGTGGCTTCCCCAGGGGCTGTTAGAGGCTCTGTGAGGTCACCCAGAGGCAGCAGTCACAGTGGGTGGCCCAAGCGTTGACCGGTCCAGCATCACCAGAACAGTAGGAGCAGGATTTGATTGAATCCAGGGCCTGGCTCCGGCCAGAGCCTGTGTCTTTACCCGCAGTGCAGACTCCTCAAAGGTTCTCTGTAGCTTTCTCACTGTCTCCTCCTTTCCCTGCGTCCTTGCCTCCCACACTGCCCTTCCCTCTGCCCCATCAGCCCACAGGGATGCCTGAGGGGCCCGTCTGCTGCCCCTCCACCCTGTAGACCAGTGGTTCTCAACCTTCCTAATGCTGTCACCCTCTAATGTAGTTCTTCATGTGGTGGGGACCCCCACCCATACCATTGGTTCATTGCTACTTCATAACTATAATTTTTGCAGCTGTTATGAATTGTAAATATCCGATGTGCAGGATATCTGATATGCAATGTTTGACACACACACCCCAAGGGGTCAAGGCCAACAGGTTGAGAACCACTGCTGTAGAAGGACTAGCAGGGCTGCTCCAGACTGTCTGTGCACCTTGTGTGTGTGCACACACTGCCGCTCAGACTTTGCAGCTGCAGCCATAGGCACAAGCTCCAAGTCCCCCATTGTCTCCCTTAGCGAGGCCTTGTCTACAGTCACCAGTTTCAGGAAAGCAACAGTCTCCCCTCCCAGGAAGGAGGTCCTGTGGGGCTGGTCTTGTGGACACGTGGCCTGCAGAGTCACATGAGGCTCCACACCCGGTTTGGTGTCTGTTGTGAAATCTGGTAAAGTGGTCTTCACAGGGCACAGGGACCTGGCAGCTGTGTGGCAGGAAGATTAGGATGTTTGGAGCCAGAGCGCAGTTTGGCAGTCAGCCGGCCTCCATTTTCTCATCCATAAGAGAGGAACCATAACTTGACTCCTGCTAAATCCCTGCTCTGGCAGCAAAGGGCATGGCCTGGGGGAGGGATGGACAGACAGACGGGAGGGAGGGTCGCCAGTGTCATCTTCAGTCTGGTGGGCAGTTTTCAGAACTGTAGGTGGACTTTTCTGTTCCTCCAGCCAGTTCCCAAATAACCACACAGAGATTTATTATTAATTATAAATGCTCAGCCAGCAGCTCAGGCTTATTACTAGCTAACTCTTACATTTAAAGTAACCCATATTTTTTCATCTTTGCTCTGCCACCTGGCTCGATTCCTTTTCTCAATACAGCAAGTTCATCTGCTTCCTCTGCATCTCCTCACGACTCCCGAGACTCCTCTTCTTCTTTGTGCTCTCTTTTTGTCTGCCAGTACCGCCTAACCTCTACCTGTCCAGCAGTAGGCCAGTCAGCTTCTTTATTAACCCAGTCACAGTGACATATATTCACACAGCGTAAAGGCATATTCACACACCACTGCCCCCTGGCCAAAGACTGGGCTTCCCAATGGTTCCTTTTCTCCTCCTGAGTGACTGCAGTGCCCTTGAGGCCTCAGCTCTCCTCACTTTAGGATGGAGATGGAGAGCATGCCCAGTAGAGCTACAGACATGAGAGAGGAGCCAGAGGCTCCCCTTGGGTCACTGTGGATTTCACAAAGCCATGGCCTGAGGCTTGGGAAGACCATTGTCCTGGGTCCGAGGTGGTGACAGGCAGGGAGAATGTGCAGCCACAGCCTCTAACAGGCCTCCACACTGCCCATAAGTTTCCATCCTCTTCTCCGAGGTGTAGAAACAAAGCTGTCCGTTTCCTGCTCATGTCTGCTTCCTGCACTTCCGCTCTCTGCCCCTTGCACACAGGTCCTTTACTTTGCCTCCCTAGCCGTGGGGCACAGGTGGCCATCCGTGTGAGGACAGACTTAACTTCTTAAGCTGAGAGGTGTTCCCTGGAGCTGAAGCCAGGCCTGCACGCTGTCTGCTTCCCTCCTGAAAGGACCAGGTGTCTTCAAAGACAGCACGCTGACGCTACAGACTAGATAGCTAACGGGACAT